ATGTGCCTTGCAGAAGCTAGAATCAGGGAGTTGTACAGGCAAATGAGGTCCTCGACCTGCTGGGTACATGTGGACAGCACTCAGTTGCATGCACTTGTCATTCTTCTCGCTTGTTTTACATACTGTGCACGCTAGTTGTACTGCATAGGACCCGTCTACATGTATGTACGATGTCACTGCTTTTGACATGCCACATGCATATACAGTATGTGTGTTCAGTTATCCGGTTACCTCGCCTATCCGGATATTTTTGTGGAAAACAGATGTGTGCGGTTAAGCGAGGTCTGACTGTATGAATAAATAATAATAACGAGAGAGCTTGGTAGCTCAGGGCCCTACGCCATGCTTTTTTGCCTAGCTCATCATGCATTGTTATTAGAAACTTTCTCTTTGTATTCGAGGGTAATATGACACCGTCTACCACCTTGATGACCGAGGCAAAAAAAGCATAGGGATGTTATAAATTTTTCATTTCTCCTATTTTTTTTCAAGACATAACCTAGGATTCGAACCCGCACTATCGCCCTGCATGCATTCTCATACATACTCATTCTTCCAAGTTGCTTCACGTTGTGATCTTGCATTTGAAAGCCCTATTTGAGTATTGTGACCAGCAGTCTTTGATGGTACGGTACGGGACAGGTACGGGATAGCGCCAGGCATGCCGACGGCACAAACGCACAAACACGGAATTAAAGCTGTGTGGACCCTGGCTAGCGCCAGACGTTACTGAAGTAACGTCTTTTGCATAGCCACGGGAATAACAATCCAGTGCTGGAGATGGCACCAGAGTGTCACATCACGTGACCTGGGTATGTCTGTCACGGACTTGAGTTGCTGGTAACTTGATCTTAATCACGATGACGATGTTGTTGGAGAGATTGTTTCTGCTGCTAACTGACCATTGCCGTTTGTTGTTTCCACCCCCCTCTTGTTTGCTATTAGGTATGCCGTGACATCAACCGTATCAAGGTTTGCATGGAGACCGGCCAGACAGTGGTGCTGTTGAACCTGGAGAACCTGTACGAGAGTCTGTACGACGCGCTCAACCAGTCCTTTGTCAACCTGGGCGGCGAGAAATACGTCGATCTCGGGCTGGGCACCCATCGCGTCAAGTGCCGCGTCGACTCCAACTTCAGGTAAATTGATTTTCCTTTCTACGACAAGGGCACTTTTTCTTCTTTTCTTTTTTTTTACGAGAAACCAACGGACCTCGAGAACAGAATACTGCATGATAGAGGTGACTGCAGGCGCAACTGTGGTGGTGAAACTGGAGCATCTCTGCCGACCTGAGGTCTCGCTTAGTCTTGCCTTTTTGCAGTCTGTGATGTAAGTCCATCATATTGTATCCTGGTGAGGGCGATTTGCCGAAACGTCGAGAAAATGATTCTGTGAACTGAAGTAGTAGGTTTTTCATTTTGACCCGACGAGACCATACGACGCTTGCAGATCACAGCACGAACAGTTCACCAGCCACACTCAACAACAACTTCAACAACTGCTTCTCCTCTGATGAGTTCCCCGTTATTATCTCTATGGAACGAAACAAGACTTGTCAGGAGTACTACTACTTGCTTTCGTGGAGTGTGGCTGGTGAACTGTTCGTGCTGTGATCTGCAAGCGTCGTATGGTCTCGTCGGGTCAAAATGAAAAACCTACTACTACTGTATTTGACGGACCTATTGAAGATGGCACAAAGAATTCTGTGAACTGAGTTGTGAATTTGCAGTGTCCAGGGAATGAGCATGTGTGCTCACTATTCCTCTTTCAGTTCTGAAGCTGCAGGGTGCCTCACCTCTATCACGTGACTGATGCGACGGTCAGTGAATGGTGTTTTTCATTGGAAGTTGACTATACCGGTATACTACATAGGGAGAGGTGTATGGTGCTGCATCACTCCCGCGGCTAATCTGGACTGTATGCGAATGTGCCAACACTGGAAACACTGATATTGGTTTATACCCCGATAACATGAATTGTTGTGCGTGCATGCGTACGTGTGTGCATGTGTGCGTGCATGCGTACGTGTGTGCATGCGTACGTGCATGCATGCGTTTATTTGTGTACGGTTGTGTGTGTGTGTGTGCGCATGTGACACCATTGCAACCGTTGCAACTCTTGTGTCTGTGCAGACTGATTGTGATTGCCAAGAAGCGTGACGTGCAGGAACGCTTCCCCATACCGCTTATTAATCGCCTGGAGAAGCACTTCCTGGCACTGAGCACGGTCCTATCCGAACAGCAAGCTCAACTAGCGCACCAGCTACAGAACTGGGTACAGCAGTTTGCTGAGGTCAAGGCCCGCAGCAAACAGCGCACATTTGCCAAGGGCGACGCGTTCATTGGTTACCACGACGACACGGCCGCCGCTCTCATCCTGCACGCCTGCCAGGACCAGCAGGTCGGCGGCGTCGTGCAGTCCGCCGCTGCCATGGCGACGGGCGACGCGGACTGGGAGCAGAACGTGCTGCGCCGCGCCAAGTTCCTGCTGATGGAGATGTGCCCACCCGATGCGGTTGCTCGCCTCTCGCACACGGCCCTCACGCGCGAGGCCAGCGACTGCTGGAAGATCTACTTTGAGCGGCAGCGGCACAGCAGCCTGGACGAGTGCCTGCACGTGCAGCTGTCGCGATGGCGCCGCACCGAGAAGAGCGCCTGCGGCTTGTCGCTGCAGGTCACCACGCACTCGCGACTCCTGTCGCAGGTGGACGCAGAGCAGATTGGCGCGCAGCTGCGTCTGCCCGGCGGTGCCGTGCGTTGTCTGCTACTGCAGCAGTTCCACACCGAGCAGCAGTTCTGCAGAGAGGTGTCCAGCTTCCTCTCCAACCGAGACTTGCTTGCGGACAACGGAGACGAGCAGCACATGCTTGTCAATGCTACAGCAGCAGCAGCGGCAGCCGCGTCACGCGTTCTCATCATTCAATGCGACGACGGTGACCAGCACTCCGACCTGCTGGCGTGCGCACGCCATCGCCTGCAGGAGGAACGCGAGAAGGCCCGAAGCGCGTACGCGCAGGCGGGCTGCGTCCAGGACATCCGCCTGCACGTCATCTTCATCGTGCGCCTGCCACGCAAGGCAGGTGGCTGCTTCGAGGGAGCTCAGGGTGGCATGTGGCGATCAGTGCACATCGACGAGCTTCGGCCATCGGCCTCCAAGGAGACACCGAAAGTGACAGCGCTGGTGGGTCAAAGTGTCAGCGAGCTCTTCTCTACGAGTATCGGACACATATTTGGATTCACAAACACTGCCGCTCCAGTCAATGAGAACGAACTTCAGGGAGGCGTTCCCGAGGAGCCCATGGATACGGGTGTGGCTGTAGTGGGTGATAACGAGGAGGCCCTGCGAATGCAGGTTGCCGCTCTAGGTGTGGGCGACGTTGCTATGGATACTGGTGATCAGCGGCTTGCTGGCCAGGCACTCGCTATTGCCACGACGACAGCTGCTACTGGTGGTGATGCTGACGGCCCCGGTGAGTCCGTACTGTCACCTGCCGATCTACTCTCATCCTGCATACAGGACGCTGTGTCGCGGCTCGACGACATTCACGGCACGTTCACGGTGGTGGAGTCGCGCATTCGCAATCGCATTCTCCACTTCCAGCAGCTGCTCAAGTCCAGCGAGAGCGACGCCGTGGGCCGTCGGTTCCTGGAGCTGCTCTGCCGCAATATCCTGGCCATACTGCGAGTGCGCGACGACCAGCAACAGTACCTCTTCAATCGCAAGTCAGTCGAGTGGGTGCAGGACGAGGCGTTGTCCGATCTTAGCCTGCAGGCCGGCGGTACGTTTCAGCGTGCCCTCTGGCTCAAACTGCAGAACATCTTCTCTCCCATCCTGGCCGAGGCCATAGCCAGTCTGGACTGCAGCAACAACCTGGACCTGTTGGAAGCGTCACAGCCCGCCTGGCTGCGTCACCTCTGGCTGGAGCTGTTCAGCGACCCGGAGATCTTCAAGCTGGACAAGAAGGCGGGGGCCACGCCACGGGATCGCGTGCCCGTTCGCGCGCACGGGACTCATGACACGGTGTTCAAGTGCCGGCTGCCGTTCTCGTGGCGCGTCAAGGCTCTCGTTGATGTGCTGCTGCCGCAGGCGCACAGCTCGAGCAGTGCCGCCCACGAGCCGGTTGTCGCGTGCCTTCGCGCCGCCCTCATCTCTACGCGGCTCGGCAAGCTGCTGCAGGCGGTGTGCGAGGAGTACGGCGAGTGTGTGCGCTTCTACCTGTACGACTTTGTCCTGATGACGTACAGCACGCAGCAGAGCGATGACGTTCACGAGATGCTGACCACGGCGTTGGTGACGGCGCAGCGCGAGCTGCAGATTGCCGACGACGTACGGCCCGTGCTCGATGTCGCGTCTGTCCACGTGGCTCACAGCGCCGTGCAAGCGCGTCTCCACTGCATGCTGCAGCTGTTGTGCGCCGCGCCGGCCGAGGTGAAACGTCATGTCATGGCCAACACGGAAATGGATTCTCCCGAGCTGGTATGTGTGCCTGGTGCTTTCTTTCTCTTGTGTGTTGTGTGTGTTGTGTCTGTGTCGTGTGTGTGTGTTGTGTCTGTGTTGTGTGTGTTGTGTGTGTGTGTTGTGTGTCTGTGTTGTGTTGTGTGTGTGTGTGTTGTGTGTGTGTTGTGTGTGTGTTGTGTGTTGTGTGTGTGTGTGTGTGTGTGTGTGTATGTGTGTGTGTCACGTAGAGTTCAAGGTCCTCAGAAGATGAGGGCTCCGACATCCAAGCAAAGTCAGTAATCTCTACCTGCTGCAGCATGCAGTAGTGGCTAGTTGTTCCTCCAGAGGAACGGAGTGCTGCGCCAGCGATGTGTTTTAGATGACATTGGAAGGATTGTCGACACTGTTTCACTGTTGTTGTTTCTGTCAAGTGAAGACAATGCTCCTGTGATTTATATAGCATTTCTCATCGTAAAAATGCTAAAAATTTCCGAAAGTACAAATAGACAGGGAAAGATTTAAGTTGTCATTTCGGCATTCCTGGCTCTCAACGCACCGATGCCGCCATGGCTTGTATATTCGATCTTTACAAGAAATTGAAAGGGTCTTCAATCCCTCGCTGAACCTGTGTGCCAGTCGATTACATGTAGATGATTATGTGTTCGTCACGGTACAATGTAGGGTAAGCAGCAAGCATTTAGCCCTGTACAGGTTTTCCATCGTCCACCACTCTGTCCACACCACAACTGTGCTCTCCAGCGATGGTGGTGTGCTGTGGCAACGTGTCGAGGCCGGCTGGAGAGCGCAGTTGTGGTGTGGTCGATGATGGAAGAATATGTGTCCGTAATGTGTTTTAAAAGCATTCGATTCCAACTAACACAATCGGATTGTCGTACAACCGCACAACTTCAATACAATCTGATTCCTACTATTTTGGCTGTTCAATTTTGGTTCAACCGGAACCCCCTGTAGAGATCTCTGGATCCGCCCCTGTGTGGTGTGTGTCTGTGTTGTGTGTGTCTGTGTTGTGTGTGTCTGTGTTGTGTGTGTCTGTGTTGTGTGTGTCTGTGTTGTGTGTGTCTGTGTTGTCTGTGAACTGTGTTGTGTGTATCTGTGTTGTGTGTGTGTTTGTGTTGTGTATGTCTGTGTTGTGTGTATCTGTGTTGTGTGTTTGTGTTGTGTATGTCTGTGTTGTGTGTATCTGTGTTGTGTCTCTGTGATTTGTTTCCCTGGCTACTGTGTCTGACTTCAGTTCATGAATTTTGAGCATCGGTAGAATCATATACTGCTGCTGGTGCTGGTGCTGGTGCTGGTGGTTGTGGTAGCCACTGCTGTTGCTGCTGCTGCTGCGACTTCTGCTGCTGCTGCTGTTGCTGCTGTTGCTGCTGCTGCTGCTGCTGCGACTTCTGCTGCTGCTGTTGCTGCTGCTGTTGCTGCTGCTACTGCTACTGCTGTTGCTATTGCTGCTGCTACTGCTACTGCTGCTGCTGCTGCGACTTCTGCTGCTGCTGTTGCTGCTGTTGCTGCTGCTACTGCTACTGCTGCTGCGACTTCTGCTGCTGCTGCTGTTGCTGCTGCTGCTGTTGCTGCTGCTACTGCTACTGCTGTTGCTGTTGCTGTTGCTGCTGCTGCTGCTGTTGCTGTTGCTGCTGCCACTGTTGCTGTTGCTGCTGCTGCTGCTGCTGCTGCTTCTGTTGCTGTTGCTACTGCTGCTGCTGCTGCTGTTGCTGTTGCTGCTGCTACTGCTACTGCTGCTGCTGCTGCGATTTCTGCTGCTGCTGTTGCTGCTGTTGCTACTGCTACTGCTGCTGCTGCTGCGACTTCTGCTGCTGCTGCTGCTGTTGCTGCTACTGTTGCTGCTGCTACTGCTACTGCTGTTGCTGTTGCTGCTGCTGCTGCTGCTGCTGCTGTTGCTGTTGCTGCTGCCACTGTTGCTGTTGCTGCTGCTGCTGCTTCTGTTGCTGTTGCTGCTGCTGCTGCTGCTGCTGTTGCTGTTGCTGCTGCTACTGCTGCTGCTGCTGCTGCGACTTCTGCTGCTGCTGTTGCTGCTGTTGCTGCTGCTACTGCTACTGCTGCTGCTGCTGCTGCGACTTCTGCTGCTGCTGCTGTTGCTGCTGCTACTGCTACTGCTACTGCTGTTGCTGTTGCTGCTGCTGCTGTTGCTGTTGCTGCTGCCACTGTTGCTGTTGCTGCTGCTGCTGCTGCTGCTTCTGTTGCTGTTGCTGCTGCTGCTGCTGTTGCTGCTTCTGCTGCTGCTGCTTCTGTGGCTGTTGCTGCTGCTGCTGTTGCTGTTGCTGCTGCTGCTGCTGTTGCTGCGACTTCTGCTGCTGCCACTGTTGTTGTTGCTGCTGCTGTTGCTGTTGCTGCTGCTGCTGCTGCCACTGTTGTTGTTGCTGCTGCTGTTGCTGCTGCTGCTGCTGCTGCTACTGCTGTTGCTGCGACTTCTGCTGCTGCCACTGTTGTTGTTGCTGTTGCTGTTGCTGTTGCTGCTGCTGCTGCTGCTACTGCTGTTGCTGCGACTTCTGCTGCTGCCACTGTTGTTGTTGCTGTTGCTGTTGCTGTTGCTGTTGCTGCTGTTGCTGTTGCTGCTGTTGCTGTTGCTGTTGCTGCTGTTGCTGTTGCTGCTGTTGCTGTTGCTGTTGCTGTTGCTGCTGTTGCTGTTGCTGCTGTTGCTGTTGCTGTTGCTGTTGTGGTTGTGGCGGCCACTGCTGCTGTAGATGTCGTTGAGAGTGCTCACTCACATCCTGCCTTGAGAGTGCTCACTCACATCCTGCCTTGAGAGTGCTCACTCACATCCTGCCTTGAGAGTGCTCACTCACATCCTGCCTTGAGAGTGCTCACTCACATCCTGCCTTGAGAGTGCTCACTCACATCCTGCCTTGAGAGTGCTCACTCACATCCTGCCTTAAACTAATTCCTATGTTTGTTGTTCTGTGTTGTTGGTCGTAACAGGTTGTTGACCTGCAGGTGCTGCACAGGGTACTGCATGGCTTGGAACCGGGGCCGAAAACGTTCACTTCCGTGGACTCTTGCCGCCGCTGGTTGGACTCTGTGCGCAAGGTT